CTGAAACATTCAGTCCGGTCGTCAAACTCCCAACCATCCGTATCATGCTTTCAATCGCATTATATTTTGACTGGCCCGTGCAGCAATTAGACGTAGCCAATGCGTTCTTGCATGGCAACCTGACCGAAACCATCTATATAAAGCAACCCAAAGGCTTTGAAGATCGCACTCGACCAAATCACGTCTGTCGCCTAAACAAAGCTATCTATGGGCTAAAGCAGGCGCCGCGCCAATGGTACAACACGTTCACGATATTTCTTCTCAAACTTGGTTTTACACACAGTCAGGCTGACCCGTCTCTTCTAATCTACCGCAAGGCGCAAGTCAGTATCTTTTTACTTATATATGTTGATGATATACTAATTACAGGCAATAATCAACAACATATTAATACCATTCTGACACAACTTGACTCAGAATTTGCTATGAAACGGCTTGGCCAAGTAAGTGAATTCTTAGGTATAAAAATTTCTAAATCTGACACATCTTACTTTCTCAATCAGGCCAAATATGCGCTGAAAATTCTCAAGCAAGCTGACATGGATCTATGCAACCCGCTGGCAAATCCTACATGCACTAAATTGCCATCGGAATATAGCTCTGATTTCTTGACGGCTAATCCCGCACGGTACCGTAGCATTATAGGTGCCTTGCAGTATTTGACGTTAACTCGCCCCGACGTCTCGTTTAGCGTTAATCTCCTATCACAACACATGCATGAACCGATGCCCAAACACTTCTACTTGCTCAAAAGATTACTTCGTTACATCAAAGGTACGTTACATTTTGGTCTACCAATTACAAAAACTGATCTCGTTTTAAAATCTTTTTCAGACGCGGATTGGGCCGGTGATCCTCTCACACGAAAATCAACTACCGGTTTCTGCTCCTTTCTCGGTACCACCCTCATTTCCTGGACGGTAAAAAAGCAGAATACTGTGTCTAGATCATCAACAGAGTCCGAGTATAGAGCTCTTGCCGCCCTCACATCCGATATCATCTGGCTTCGTAGACTTCTCACTGATTTCGGCATCTCTCAAAATTATCCAACGAATCTCTATTGCGACAACATGTCTGCCATAGCGCTTGCTAACAATCCAGTGTTTCATTCCAGAACTAAACATGTGGAGATTGATCAGAAATTCGTACGTGACAACATTCAACAACATCACATCATTCTTCATCCGATCAGCACGAAGGATCAAATAGCCGATATCTTTACCAAGTCTTTATCTACACCTCGGTTTCAAGAACTCAGGAGCAAACTGACGATCGTCTCCGATACATCAATTTGAGGGGGGATATTAGAATATACATCTACTCATGTATTTAAGCGTACTGTTTCTATCTAGATAGTTCTCTGGCTTCTTTGTAATTATGTTAAATCTGTTCACCTGTATCTCTATATAAGAGTAGGAGGTGACGTTGTATAGGAGATAGTTTTTGATAAGATTACTGCAAGCTACATCTTTCTTGTTCTGCAATGTCTTCTTCCCTGCAATCCTAGTTTCTACAATTATACCATCATCATATTATGGTAGATTTTTTTTTCTTTTTTAATATAGGTGTATCCTTTAAAAAAATATTAGTTTATGATATTTCCTTCTTATGCCTAGGGATTGAATTGTTTGGACAAAATTGAAAAATCGAATCAAATTGATCTAATTTAATTGCATTTTAAAAAGTAGATTTGATTGTTGATTATTGATATGCCATCAAAAAATTAGCTTGTTCAGGCATGAATCTCAATGCAAATATGAGTCAGAAACTTTCAAAATTAAGTTCGGGATCATCTGGACTCCAATTTTTGCAAGCTTATAATCAAAATGAGCATCAAGGAGATGAACCCAACGACGACGAAATCGGTCCAATTCGAACACAAATGGGTCCAAATCGAGTGACTGAAGCCTATTTTGAAGTTTTATAACATTACCAAATTATATCCAAATATGACATGCTTATAGTCGAATCGAGCGGATCGACGAGACGAATCCAACGAGCCCAAGACCGCCAAATTTTGAAATCATTAAGATACTCAAATGCTCAATAAATAATCTATGATTGAGGGAGTTGACATCGGTCGTTCTTTGAAACACTCTGAATATGCCATTGATTTTTTTCATATTCACTAGCCATGCTAGTTCCAAAAAACTATAAATAAACATTTCTTTCGTCACAAAGGGGAGAGGATGAAGAGATGAAAAATGAAGGATCTCTCTTACTTTCTCAAGCTTGTACCGCCTCGCTTCCTGTCGTTGTCGAACTTCCCCTTGGGCGTTGACCGCGTGCCAGACTTCCTTCAGACCACCATCGCCCGACTATGATCCTCCGACCATCATTGCCCCAACTATGATCTATCCACCACATTTGCCCAAGTACTATCCTTTTGACCTCCGTCACCCCGCCAACTATGGCCCTTCAGACCACCTTCGTCGAACTACAGTCCTTCTAACCACCATTGTCGAACAACAAGCCTTCCAACCACCATCGCCTGACTTTGATTCCCTCTAACCTTGTCACATGCTAGCTACGACTACAGTCCACTTTGACCACTATCGCCCGACTATAGTCCTTTCAATCACGATCACCAGTTTACTAAGGTGACAACGATCTATGGTCCTTCTAACTTCTATCGTTGGCCGACTTTTGTCCCTCCGACCACCATCGCCCGCCGACTACAATCCTTCTAGCCATCATCGCCCAACTATAGTCCACTCTTACCATTGTCGCCCGTCGATTATGATCATTTTGACCACCTTCGCTTAACTACGGTCACTTTGACTTCTATCATCTGCCGACTATGGTCCCTTTGACCAACATGACCCGCCAACTATGGTCCACTCTAACCACTGTTGCTTGTCGATTACGGTTCCTTTGACCATCGTCGCTTGTCTATAACGGCCCTCCCAACCACGATCGGCCGTAGATTATAGTCTCTCCAACATCCGTCAACTATAGTCCCTTCAACCTCTGTCGCTTGTCAAGTATGATCTCTCTGACCACAGTCGGCCTTCAACTATGTTCCTACCGACCAAATTAACAGGGCAACATTCTCTTAAAAATAATTCTCATATCATTGAATTTCCTCAACTCTCACAATATAATATACTATGTATAATGTATACTTGCTACATTGAGATGGAGCCCTCCACCTCGAGGAAAGGCATCATTTCTAATCGACTACAAAAACAAGTGGAATCATTTTTAACTAGGCCATGCCCCGTGATTTTTCTCCATTCTTAGGGTTTTCTATGTAAAAATGATGACGTCTCTTATTACTCTCGCACCTCTCTCTCTCTTATCCGTCTATGTGCTAGATCTTCGTTCAAAGGCAAGACATTAAGTTTTTTATTTCTCTACCACAACAAATGTACCATGACACAATAATTATAATTTAAAATTTTTGTCTCAATTTTTATTTTTTAAAACTGATATAAAACAAAAATCAAATTATTTTAATTTGTTTGAATATTAAATCAATAATCATGTGAAGAAGAAAACAAGATAAAGATCAACCTAAGTATCATTAATTCTACCTGCTAAAATTATAGAATTTTAGAAGATTACTTGGTGCTTTCTTAATTTATTTATTATTTAAGCTAAAAATAATTATATTTACTATTAATATCTAATAAGAGTTCAGTTATAGAGGTTGTAACATAGCGATATTTTGCTTCGATGGATGAATGAAACAAAGTTCATTGCTATTTTGTAGTCCATAAGGATTATAATCGAGGTAAATGAGATAACGTTGGTGGAGGTCAAACTATCAAGCAGTTGAATAAAATAGATGCGATGACTCAATATAGGTGAAACTATCACCTTCTAATTGTTTCTTATTTTAGATGGCCGGATTGGCAATTAGATTTTTATGGATGGCTGGGTCTAGCAACCAAGTAATTTTTTGAGTTCTATGAATTTGAGGAAGGGTTTTCCTTTTATCGAGTCATTGTTTTAGGGGCTATTTGGTTTTTTTTCCTTTGCATCTGGTGCTTTTGGGTGGTTCTTTTACGCAGGAGCGTGGTTGCTGTTTGGATGGCCCGAGTTATGGATTATCTGAAGAGTTTATGAAGTGTTTTCCTTCTTGGTTGATTCAACTATTTTGGTTGGGTGGTTCTTCTAGTTCTGGCATTTGGATTGGATGCTGATTGGGTGGCCCGAGTTGTGACTTTTTTGAAGGCTTTCCTGTAGGATTTTCTTGCTTCTTGGTTATTTTTGAAGGAGGTTGTTTAGGTGAATGAAGTTACTTTTTGGCCGTTTACGATTAATTTGCTTGACTAGTGCTTGGCTTTGTCGTTCTTCTTGTTCCTGCATTTGCTATTTGGAGTGGGTGTTTGGGAGCTTTTTAATGTCTTTATTTTTTAGGCTTTGGGCTGTTTTTTTTTTTTTTTTTTTTTTTTTTTTTCTTCTTTTTTTTTTTAAAAAAATAAAAATTGATAAGTCATGGATCTGATCTAATTAAAATGTTTGTATTTCTGTGAGTTAGATATTGCAAATGATATGCTTCCTTGTAATCGGCAAAAGTCCAATGATAATCCATTTGATTGCTCACTTACTATGGAATTTTTATTGCGTCCTCCCACCTGATGTAGAGATGCGTCCTCCCAGACCTAAAATCGCACTAAAAAACGAGAAATATCAAGCAAATACCGAGCAATACCAAACAATAACGAGGAATATCATCATGTGAAGACCAATACCGAGTTATACCGAGCTATACCGAGCAATACCGAGCAATACAAAAAAATACCTAGTTTTTCCTAGAGAAAACTCGGTATGTGCTCGATATAGCTCGGTATAACTCGGTATTGATCTTCACATGATGATATTCCTCATTATTACCAAATAATACCTAGCAATACCGAGCAAAAACCGAATTTTTTAATGATGAAAGTACGCATCTCTAAGTCAAGTGGGAGGAAGCAATAATTTTTCCTCGAAAGCTGCCAATCGAAACCAACAATAGGTAAATTCGGTAGTTTTTACTTCTTAGTAGTACTAGGGTGCATGTAAATCGCCCCAAGTAACTTTGCCTTCAGTCCATTACCTTGCTTCTGCCGCAATGGCGGCCGCCCTTAATCTCCCTCAGCCGACCTTTCCCAAAATCCCCAGCTTACCCTCTCCTCTCTCTCCCAGCCGCTTCTTCATCCCCGCTTCTTGCCATCGCAAGTTCCCTACACTCTCTACTGCCGCCGCCGCTGTATCTTTGGCCGTACCTCTCGGGCCATTGGCAACCATTGGGTCCGTTGATTCAGTGGAAGCGATGGTGAATCCTGCCCTAGTCTACGCAAACTTTCTGTACTTTAAATCAGGCTACAATGTTCAGATCTTCGTAGAAGAGAACGAACCGGAGGAGGTCCTACTCCGACGGTTTAGGCGGGAGGTCAGTAAGGCTGGCATCATACAGGAGTGCAAGAGGAGGAGGTTCTTCGAGAACAAGCATGATGAGCTGAAGAGAAAGAAGCGGGAAGCTTGCCGCCGGAATCGGAGGAGGTATGGTCTCTGTTTGCAACCTTTTTCCCTTCGTTATTCGATCCGCTTTCTTGTAAAAGAAGAAGAAAAAAAAAATTTCAGACTTTTTGCTGGGACGGAGAATGTGATAGATTTTTGGTACTCTGCATTGAATCAGATTAAACTATTGCACAAAATTGTGAGTTGCTTGTCTGAAACAAATTCATGCATTTTAGCTGTTTGTGAAATTACTGCAATAGTAGTCAAACATACATAAACATATAATTAAAAAAAAAAGTGAAATTTTAAACAATTTCGATAATATTTAACAAACTGAATTATGTTTAGACCTTTATGCATATGAGCTTCGATATATTCAACTCTTTTATAGTATCTGAACAAGCACTTAAACAAGCTTGAAAACAATGAGCTGATAAGCAAGAAATAAATTATAAACTCATATAGTGTACATGCACTCATGCAGGTATCAATATGAGGCTTATATGAGAAATGAGACATAAGTTTCAACAATCATGAACATACCCACGTATCAATAGTAAAAAAAAAGCCAAAAACAAACTTTAAGTCAAGACCTATGACGAGAATGCCTCAAAAAGTTTAGAAGATAGCATAATATTTTAATGAAAGCTCAAATTTTAAATCCAAATCCATTGTTTAGATATTTAGATTTTTTCTTATTGCTTTATAAATCAGTTTTTTAGTACAAAAATTTTTAATTTAATTTTTTTTTTTACTAAAAAATTACTTTAAGAAGCAGTTTTTTAGTATAATTTTATTTTGAATTAGAAATTTTTGTACTAAGAAAATGCTTCATAAAGCAATAAAAAAGCTGTCTCAAACGAAGCCTTAAATTGTATCATAAGTTAATGGCAAGAATTTTTACCAAAACCACTACAAGCTTGACACAAAGTTGACAATCATAGCATAACAATAGTGCCCAACCCATATAGCCTCGATGGCTTGATGTTGTTGGATATTACATCAATAGAGCCAAGTAGAATGGTTGATTAGGCTGAGGATTTCAATCTCTTTATATTACATAGTGCAACATAGATGTTTTCCATAATTACATACCAATAGTAGTGTTTTCAAAGTGCTAAGTGCAATGTGAAGCACAATTTTTTTCATTTATTTGATTTTATGAGCTTAAGGAGTGCTAACCGATCTGATTACAAAGTTGTTCATTGAATGCATTGGCTCACTTACTACATTAGGAGAGAATAAAAATATATGTTTGTAAATGTGAAAAGAAAATTGAAGTACATAGATTTATCCAATAAGTGAACTCTCTTGAGGTAGCAAATGAAAAAAGAAGACTTGCCAATGTTTACCAGAATTGTAGGGCCCTTTCCTGTAACAAACTATCACTACGCATGCTATTTGGACATCTTTAAAGAAGAATTAAAAGAAGGGTGCCAAGGAGAGCCACCACTCTCAGTATTAGAAGCCGTCAATATGTCAATCTAAACAAGATAAGGAGGATAAATATTCATGCAAATCTAAGCAATTAAAGTCAACAAAGTTTCCACTTAAATAATAGAATAAGGTTCAATTTTAGGAATAAATTGAGTCAAATAGGAGCTATGATCCAAGTGGTTTTTTAGTTTTTAGGTATTATACATCATACATGCAAGATATCACACTTTGTTGTCAAGCTGTATGGGAACAAGATGCAAGATGCACCGCCTTAAGTTCTTCATGCAAGAACTTGCAAGCAAGAATCAACAGGATTTTTCAAATTCCAAAATACGAAAGGCATAAATATGTTTTTTTAAATATAATTGGGAGTCTAAGGGATTTACTTTGCAAATTAAATCCAATCTTACCAGGGGGATTTCTTGAAATATTGAAGTATAGCCTCAAATCTGGTAGATTTTAGGCATCTTCAGATTTACATTTAACTATGGTTTAATTTTTTTCGATCTATAACTAACTTGTATTAGGTCATTATGATCCTGAATGAAATAATTCCAAAGCATTTCTACTTGATTTAGTCATCTATCTTTCTCACCCTCTCTCCCTCTATTCCTCCCCCTTCCTCCCCTCTCTCTATTGCTCTCACCCAATCTATACTCTCTCTCCCGTAAGCATGCTAAGGAGCAAGGAAGGGTTAATATTTTTAAATAAGAGCAAGGCAGAAGATTAGAACTAGAAGAAGAAGGTAGTGATGATGATGATGATGATGATGAGAAGGAAAATTGGGTGGAAGCAAGAAGAGAAGGAAAAAAGTCAACACAACCATTTATAAGTGAAAGAAGAACTTGGTAATTCTAATGTTTCAAATCTGGTTTGCTACTTCCATTATATATATTTCATAAGTAGATCCTACCTCTTAATCCCTCTTGTTCACTTTCAATCCATTTTACATAACCTTCGGTCGAGCCCTTGCAAAGCGTGTTATGCCAAATTTGTTTATTTTCTTGCAAGGGTCCAAAGCATAGAAGAATCTTATCTTAAAGAACTAAGCATTATAAGAATCAAGTACAACAACAACAACAACATCAAGCCTTTATCCCACTACGTGGGGTCGGCAATTATAAGAATCAAGTGTAGACTTATAATCCTTAATATTGGAGTAGCCGTACTTCATTTAAAATTGAGAAGAGGATCAACAGAAATCATCATCAAAGTTTTGGACCACTGATGAGCATTGCTTGTAAGATCTATCCTTTAGTAATTGCTTTTATGCACCTTTTCATATTTGCTTTGTTTATTTTGGACTGTCACAGGTGCTTTTTGGTCAATGCTCTTTCTGTTTCTATAGTGTTATGGTGGATTGCTAGTTCGTAATCATATTTCTTGTTATGTAAATGTGCAGATGATAAATAATAAATATTTTAATTTGATGCTATGAGGTTTTTGAGAAATATTATTCTTTCTTTGTCTAATGTACATAATGCTATTTTGTGTAAACTAATTTACATCTTATTGCTGAGAAATAAGTGAAACTAAATTCAATCACCGATGGTGGGAAAGAGCATAAAATAGAAAAAATTATAACACAAAACACACCAAAAAAAAAAAAAGGATATATATATATATCACCCAATTAACGATTGTTTATTTTTTTTGCCACTGCATATTTCACTATGATTAAATTGAGGAGAATTGTTATTCCAATTTCTCAACTACTAATATAAGATGTCGCGCCATCTTTATAAAGAAAAAATTAGTGTAGTCGAAAAATATAACAAAGTTCTCAAAATGCCCTTATTGAAATAATAACCATAACTATTTAAAACTTTTCATGGGCTTGATCATCAGACCTCTGTGTGGGGTGCTCTCTACCCCCCTTTCAATACCATGATGATGTTACCATGAACGTTGACTCGCAGCTAAAAATCTGCATTTCAAAATTTAGATTCCTTAACTTCAATACTTACCAGATGATTGCCCATGAAATTCTTTACTTGGACTTTATAAGATGCATTACTAAATCTTTTTGTTTGTCTCTTTTCAAATGACATTTTATAACCATCCTTTCAACTATGTTTGATAACATTCTCATTAGCGAGTACCCATCTGTTTACTATATATTTACTAACTGTTAGATGACGGATAACTGCAACATTTTCCACACCTGCAGACGGTTTTCAGGACCTAGGCTCAGCTCATCTTCATCCCGGGAAGAAAATAGTGCAACTAAAAAGGCCAGCGATGACTTGGACGATAACTGGGAATATCATGATATCGACCTCCCTTAAGTCTGGTATATTTTTATGCACGTTCTTTCAATCTGATATATAGTGTGAGTGCAATTTAATTTAAAATCATCTTCATCAGCATTAGCTTTCTAATGTAGGCAAGCTTTGGGCTGTTTTCTGCCTCTTGGTTTGGATCATGGCTGTTCTCGGATTGGGCTTTGGCTGCTTGGTTTTGAGCTTAAAAATTGGGTTCTACTTAAGTCTAGCTCATTAATTCTTGAGTTGATGTTTAGCTCATTAATGTGAAAAGGTATTCTTCTTATTTAGCTCATTAAAATGAGTTATAATTTGTGCCTTTTCTCCTCCCTTTGTCTTCTTGATTTTCCCCTTGTTGGTTGGTTTCCCGTGATGTGCCCCTTTGTCTCCCGTGCTGGCTTTTCGGTCCCCTTGCTAGCTGGTTTACCGTGACTTGATACCTTGCCTCCTGTGCGGATACATGTGGGGTGGATATTTGTGGGAAGAAGAGTATTTACCGCCGGTGCTTAGTGTCAGCATTGGTTCTAACTATTTTGTTTGGTGTTGAGAGTTTTAAGGTGCTGAATAATGTTTTTTTAAGGGTATTGAGTTGTTTGTTATTTATTGCACGATCATGGGAGAGTTATTGCATATTCTTCTAGACAATTGAAGCTACTACATAAGAACTATCTAACTCATAATTAGAGTTTACTAATATTATATTATATTAAAAATCTAAAGGCATTATTTATATCGTGTCAGATATGAGGTTTAATACATATCATCAAAGTTTGAAGTATATTTTATTTTTACCTCGTCATTTTACATCAGCATGGAGATGCCAAGTTGATAGCTGATGATGTTGAGTAAGAAATCCACCGGTGTGGTAGCTTATCAAAAATCTAGTGGTTTATTATAGCCTTTGCCCATTCCCAAGTGAAAGTAGTAATATGTCAAAAAGAATTTTTCAATGGGATTTTTAACGTTTAGGTATAGTTATAATGCATTATGTGTTATGGTTGATTTGTTGATGAAGTCGGCACATTTTCTTTCTATAGAGTAGACAAATCCAATTGAGCTATTAGCACAACTATATGGGCATGAAATTGTTAGACAAGTTGTAATACCAAAAATTATTATTTTTAATTGTGATGGTATATTCACTTTTAAATTATATAGAGCTATTTAGGATGGTTTGGGGATTAGTTTGAATTTCAATATAGCTTTTTATCCTCAAGTAGATGATCATTGAAAATCATTAAAATTATTTGTACTTGATTTTGGAGGGAGCTGGGAGGATTGTATACCTTTGATTGATTTTCCCTTTTACTACAACTTTTAATTGAGTATGATGCCATATGAGGCATTACCAGGTAAGAGGTGCATGACACATTTATTTTACACAAAGGTGGGTTAGAGGAGATTAAGGCTTCGTTTGGGACGGTTTTCTTACTGCTTCTTGAAGCAACTTTTTAGTACAAAAATTTTAATATTTATATTATAAAGCCGCTTTAAGAAGCAGTAAGAAAGCCGTCCCAAACGAAGCTTAATAGATTCTGAGTTAGTGAATGATATCATTAAGAAGATCAAATTGATCAAAAATAGATTGAAAGCATCACATGATTGACAAAAAATATTATAATCTAGAACATTGGATTATTAAGTGTTATGTGGGTGACTTAAAGTTTTGTTGATATAAACATTGGATTCATCAAGCTAATTGAGAAAATTGCCTAACTTAAGATAGGCTTCTATTGCCCTTTTTCAAATTATAGTGTTGTTGATATAATATGAATTCTTATATTTTATTTGGTTTTCAAATTATTTGTTTACTTCAAATTTATCTGCATCTGTTATTTTCAGGGAAGGGTAGCTCAAGTTGATTGGAGGTTTCTAATTTATGTTAAAATTCTCATCTGAGGTAGCCTTTTGTTGCAATTTATTTTTGACAATCATACAAATGTATATATTTTGTTGAGAGAGATTGCACTAAAATTATTAAATGTTTTCTTTTATTATATAGTTCAGTGATATAAATGAAAATATGATTTTTTTTTTAATTTATTGTTTATTTGTTGATAT